ATTTTCTATTTGCCCAATGAACGGAACCAACAAGTATTAGTAATAGTGAAAACTGAAAAGGGTTATAAGTGTTTAAATACAATAATATTTCTTTAATAATTATATATATTAAAAATATTTGGGGCAATTATAAAAGAATATAAACAATGAAATGTGAAAGTTCCACTCTTTATCAATTAACATCAAGCTTTTTGCCTTTTGGTTTCCTTTGTTAGTTATTCTACCACAAGTTCAGTCCCTTTCTAATGATTCATTTTTGCCAAATATATATCTTTAGTGATGTATAATTATTTAAAATTATTAATCTGAAGTAATCTAATGACAAATACAGATCACGATTCATAAGGATAGAGCTGTAGAGAAAGTGAGATTCACTTTGAGGATTTGCTGGAAGGCATTCAAATCCATTTTGCAATTTCTCCGGTAAAACAAAAAAAAATCTGTAAGGAAAGATTAGTAGGATCAGCATATTATGTATAATAAAATGTACTACCTCCTATTCTAATTACAAGATCTCATTTGTAGTTTATAAATTTTTATAAACTACAGACGAGATCTTATAATTAAAATTGGAGATAGTAATAAGTTGGCATTATAGGTTTGTTATAGAATTATTTATTTAAATTACATAAACTTTTTTCCACTTACTTAGAAGCACATAGAAAAAAGTTGTATATATGGTTTCTATAGGCTTCTTTTTATTTTTAAGAAAATTTATATAATTTTTAGAATAAAAGTACACATATGTGGTTTAAGTTAAAATATGATTGGTAAAAATAAAAAAGTGATGAGTAAAATAGTACAACATTATTAATTAATATTGCCTCCGGTTCTAATTATAAGATGTTGTTTGTAGTCTACAAACGAAGTCTAATAATAACTAATTAAATTAGATTAAAAAAGTTAGGTAAATTAGTTAATTATAAGAAATATGACATGTTTTTCTTAAAATATCATAATTATCTTTTTTAATATGCTCCCTTTTTTCTGTTTGATTATGATTAAGAGGATATCAATAGCAGTAATTTAAAAAAATAATAAATATAAAAAAATGCCTTATATTTAAGATTAAAGTCAATTTAATAATTGGATCTTATTGGAGGAGTATTAAACAGTAAATGGGAAGTGGCGCATATCTTGAAAAAATTCTATTTCTTTGAACCATATCAAATCAGCTGAAAATTCTGTCTTTTCTTCTTTAGGGAAAAGAAACATCTAGCTTTCAGTTGATTCAACGAAAATGGATAAGGCAGCATTGCGATCAGCTGCGGCGCAGCCCCACGCAACAACTCTTGCTCAAGTAAGTCATTTGCCAGATCACACAACTGTGAGGAAAACAGAACTTCATTGCCGTACGGCCAATGCTAACTAGATGGTGTATTTATCTTCTATGCTGTCAAGAGCAGGTGATCCCACCACCAAGACCCACTTAGACCCGTATTAACTGGATCGGATCGGAGCACAAGCGTGGAAAAAGAGATCCGAGATGACAGTACCACGTGGTTTGTAGGGCTGTCACTGGCGAGGCCCATAGTGGGGGCCCACACCCGCACTTCCTCCTTTTTTCCCCCATTTAGCTTTTGGAGGAGAAAGAGAGGAATCTTGTACGACAGGTCAACGGTGTACCGGAGACGTGGCAAGCAATGCCTGGTTGGTCCCCACCGATGGGGACGGTCGAAGGCCAATCCAGTTGCTCTTGGTGCCGGATTCTACGCCCATGGGGAGCCGTGAATGCATGGGAGGTGGGCCCCGCAGACAGGGCGATCTTCCTCTTACGTGGACTTGTCCCCTCCTGCAACTAGATGAGTTTTCTGATGTACAGTAAAAATCCCAACAAATTTAATTTCAATTCTTTTGAATAAATTTCCAAGTTGATATCCTTTCTAGCCCGCCAAAAAAAAAAATTGATATCTTTCCTATGTTGCTAATATATGAGATATAGAAAAATAATTTATACATATTAAAAAAATTCAATTTAATTATTTTTAAATTATTTGTGTTGATTTTTAAGAATATTTTTAATCGTGTATTTATATATATATATATATATTAAAACTAGCTAATTGCTGATCGTTGATTAAAGCTCTCTTATTATGCACGATAAATAAGAATAATTTAGAAAAATTATATATTTGGGAGTCAATCTAATTAGTATATCATCAGGATATTTTGCTTGAATTAGATGTTTTAATATAGTTCATTCTATCTTCAAGTGACGTGCTGGTATGTTCCGTCTAAGCATTTGGTAATACAAGTTTAGTTTGTCAAACTTGTATTTCGTCCGAATTGGGTAGTTTAAATAAATTGAAAACTCTTTAACTGCTTGAACAAAGTGCACATTATTTGGAAAGCGTTACCTATATGGACTACTCTTCTAAGCTTGATTGGTATACTAGTTTTCAAAGATTTTATAAAATCTTCATTGGCTGTTACTCTTTTTTTTTTTTTTGTGTATAACACTGTGTGCATCAATATCCATAGTAAAATTCTTAATATAGCTTACCATTCACATGCTACAAATATTAAAGAAAAACTTATAAAAAAATTTCTCATTAAATAGTTAATTGTGCAAATGTAGCTAAAAAATGCTTTGCATACAGTGAAAGATATGTTGCATACAACTGAAGAATAATTGTATTTACTTAAAATAGTTTTCACCCGGTCAAAGCCCAACTCCTTTGATGTTTTTATGCAATTAAGTAATAAGGGACTATTGGGTGATGCTTCCTAAATATATATCATGACCAACCTGTCATGTTATGTACAATGAGTAAGAAAATATGTCAACTCCTGTTTAACACCTTTAATTTTAAATATAAAATCTATTATATTACAAACTAAATTTTATATTTAAAACCGGAGGTAAGAATTGCTAATCTCTTGTGCTAAACAAAAAGCTAAGGTGGGCATATAATTAGGCAAGATAATCAAAATATGGACACAAACATGCATCACATGTGTTAAATAATAATTCCTAGTTGGAGAAATGTATTATTATGACACAAGAGTTTTCATTTTATGATTAATCAAAATCAATATACGTACATATATTAGTTTGTGGGGTTGATGCTGAGAACGGGCAAACAAAAAGTTAGGAAAAAAAGGGAATCAAAAACCTAATTCACATCACAAGGTCAATTTCATTTATAAGCCCCACAAGTTGTCCCTTCCTCTCTTTCTTTTCTTCTTCCTTTGGTCTTCTCATATTAGTATTTAGTTTTGTCACGCATACGTATTACCTTCTTATTTTAATCAGCCTCTACTAATTTATGAACACTCGCACACACATATATGGGTTTCATATACTCCAATGAATCAGCTATATATATAAAGATAAATTAAGAATGTCATTTATTCATCTGGAATGAACCTTTGATCAGATCACTTTTGACATGCAACAAGTTTAATTCTATTCATTTTTGTTAAAAAAATTAGTAATTTTCAGTTGATTAAATGGTTTGAATTAATGAACCTAATTTAATTTAAAATATTTCTAAATGATCAATGCGCTCGCGTTGGTCAGTATCAAGAAAAGAGCTTTGTCTCGTTTATAAACATACATAATCTGATTAATCACTATCAAACTACTCAAATTAAAGTCTTCTGTCTAGCCAACGCGTTTCTCTTAAAAACATTAGGCTTCTTTTGATGTAATCTCAGTTAGCATATTAATTGTATCATGCCTAATAAAATCTTGGGAATTGAGATGTCTTCTTTTCCTGGCAATTTTTATCACAAAACAAGAAATTCTGCAATATATAATGGAAAAAAAACCCATCATATTATGAACACATGTTTTCATATAATTATCTCGCATATTTGGTTTTATTGTGTCAATAGATATTCATACATTTTTAGATTCAACTGGTGGTGGCTCCTTCAACATTGTTCTAAAAAAAAATTACATAAAATTTAAATCTTTGATGTTATCTTAAGGAATATCAAATCCATCGCAGCCAATTTAAAGTGTACTGTGTTACTTCACCAATATGATCCTGATATTATTATTGTGTGTCTGAAAAGAAAAGAAAAGAGAGAAACAGTTCTTGTTTGGTTTGTTTGCTTGTTTGTTTGCAGAGAATGTAGCGAACAGGGAAAGAGGGAAAGGGATACTGCTCTGATTCTTCCTTATTTGCTCCCATCCATCTCCATTAATTCCAACATCAATCTCAGTACCTCTCCTTCCCAAATATTCCAGTCTTCTTCTCCCTCTTCACTGTTTCTGATGCCATTTAATGCTCTCCCACTTACTGATTTCACTAACCCACGATTCATCATCCCCAGAGAATAAATCATGTCATTTTGATCTATATGTGAACTTCCAGTTCCAGTGCTGTGTTCATTCACAATGCCCCACTAATGGGTTTTTATTTAAGTTTCTTGATTTAATGGAAGAATCTGAGTCTGAGACACTCCACTACTTGTTAAAGAGACTGATAGAGATATATTGAGATTTAAGAGGATATGGTTATGTGGTAATATTCTCTCCAAGAGTTGTAATAACAAGTTTTATATATATATATATATATATATATATATATCTCTTTCTTCCCCCACTAAACTAATTTTTTTTTAATTTTTAAAATTGGTATCAGACAAGTCTTAATCAAGTTGCAAAATTTGTTCATCAAAGAGCCCTCTTTAGCAGGCAAATCTCACAGCCCCTCCCTGTTCATTAGTTTAGCTCCACCGTAACAGTACTTGGTAACCCCACTTTCATGGATGTACGGAACACTATATATTAACATGCATATTTTTTAGTGGTGCATTTAAAAATATTTCTTAATTCACACGTATGTTCTCTTTATCCTCTGTAACTTGAAATTTAATAAATGGATATTTTGTGTGTAGTTGAATAATTGTTTTTAGAAAAAAAAAATGAGTGCTTGTACTGCTACGTTTCTTCTGATTGCTTAGCTTTTCTTCTTCTTTTGTTCTTGAGTTGACAACCTCATAGATAAAAAGCTCATGACAAGTCCATGATACTTGAATAGGCAAAATTCCCAGAAAGAGTCAAAACTCTAATTCCAACCAAACCTTACCTAACAACATAATGAGTCATCACTGGAAAGAGAAGAAGAGGAGGAGGAGAAAGAAGAAAGACTGTTTGAAACAGGAATTGCTTTTTACAGAGGTAGTGGTGGAAGCTGAAGAAGATCATGAGGTCCCTCCCTATGCAAAGTCAAATTGAAAATGCAGCAAACTTAAAAATGGAGCCTTTCTTCAACATAAAATTACCCTAATTAAGTAACTAATTTACCTAATTGAAGAAGAAATAAAAAGACCAACAGCATTAATGAACCCATCATCATCATCTTCATCCTCGTCAACATCCTCAGTTATTCAGATTAATCCATTGCTTGTGTCCCGGCGCCCACTTGGGACACTTTGGACTGAAATAAGAACTCACGACTCTCGAATCCAAAAGCTCAACCACAGGCTTGAACTTCACACACCTCGGTGTCTTGTACTGATTTATCGAAGCTCCCAAACTAATTGCATAATCCATAAGCTTATCGAACGTCCCCTGTTCCACGATCTTAATCTCCAACGGTCCGATCGACTTGTCCGACACACGACCTTGCCGGTACACGCTGTTCAGTGACTCCTCCACCGTCAGGCAGCAATCCTCGTACACCGACGGCGGAATTGGCGTTGACCCGTTCAGGCTGACTTCCCAGTAGAGCACGTAGTGCCCTGGGATCGTCGACGTGTCGGCGTAGCTCGTGTACTCTGAAACCGCCGCGTCGAATGGCATCAGATGAGTCACCGCGTTCTTCATCGCGTTCTGAAGCTCAACCTCGTCCGTCTTGTCGGAATCTATGCTCAGAACCACGTTTTTCCGACATACGAAGTGGAATTGCGGCGCCTTGTTCTTGAACCCCGACACCCTCAGAATGTCCCCAACTCTGTACCTGTACAAACCTGCAAATACAAATTCAAACTCCCACCGTCAAATCCAGTCACAAACAATGCGTAAATTAACAAAACGAGGAACGGAAATATTACCGGCGTAGGTTGTGACGACGAGCTCGTATTCTTGACCGACCTTAACATCTACGAGCTCGACCAATTCTTTCTGGTCCTTGTCGTTGACAGCGCCATTGCTGCGATTTACAGGGAGGAATTCGAAGTAGCACATGTTGGGGATGAGGGTGTAAGAGACTTCGCTGGGTTTGCAGAGAGGGTTAAGGTTGACTCCGAAGTAACACTCGCTGGAGGCATACATGGTACAGACGAGAGGGAGGCCATTGCTGTAATAGTCCAACGTAGGAATGTACTGTGACATTGTGCCTGTAACAATAACATCCACATACTTAGTATTAGGCCACAGCCTGGTTATAATCCCCTGCCACGAGCTCTTCCTACACTCGGACTCGATGAAGCCAGCGAGTTCCGGGTCGGGTTTGAGGATCTCCATAACAGAGCCTCGCACCGATGTGTCAGTGATCTGGGGATTAATGGTTCCTGTGCGGATGTCGTTAGCGAGAAGGGCCCAATGTTTCTCCAGGAAGCGGATGGCGCGAATGAAGCCTGAGGCGAAAACGGCGCCGACCCGGACGACATCGTGGCGTTGGCACAGCCCGCAGAGCAACTGAGAATACATGCTCTGGTAAGAATCCGAACAGAGGACCGTCTCGTTGGGGCTGGTGTAGTTGGTGTAGGGATCGTAGGGTCTGTCCTTAAAGTAAGAGCTTTTGTAATAACTCGTCAACACAGGGCGAGCCACTAGGCCTCCTGGCGTTTTCGCTTCGGATTTTATGAACAGAAAGTACATTCCTTTTCCTTTCTCTAACCCAGGAACGTACTGGCTCATCACCGGCATCAGCAGACTGTAAAGCAACGACCTTCTTCCGAGCTCTTCTTCGATCGTCGGCATCAGCTTCCTCTCGCCGCCGGAAGTCCCAGAACTGCAAAATCAAGCAAAAACACAGGCGGAAACGTTGAGGAGCCAGATTTTAAAACTGTAAAAACAGGGGAATTATTAATTAAATTCATTGTGACGATTCGAGAGGGGGGGACCTAGTGAGGAACTCAGAGACGGGTTTGGAACAGAGGATTGGGGAGGTGTCGCCATTGGCGATGCGGGTAATGTCGGGTTCGATGTCCTCGTAGGAGACGACAGGGAGGAGCTTCTTGAAGGTGTCGCGGTCGGTGGCGCCATTCAGGCCGTATCTCTGCAGGTATTCAACGTTGGCATTACGGGACAGGATTTCGGCGAGGACATTACTCTGGACTTGGTCGGCGTTGGAGGTGACATCCTCGATGAACTCGAGAGTTTTCCTGTTGCTCTCTACAAGGTTGTAGTCTATGGAGTGGTCTGGTGCCTCAGGCATGGTGGGTTTCTGGTTTCAGACAGAGAAATTGTCGGAGAGAGAAAGCAAGTAATGCTCGGAGAGATACAGAGGAGAAGATGGGGAAGGTTGTGTTTGCGTTGGGTGGGAGCGTGTGGGGAAGAGAACGAAGAGAAAGTGCTATATATAGAGAAGCACACACCTGTCAAGCTGGGTTTGCTCGGGGGGAATGGGACACAGAAGTAAATTAAAGAACTAGTAAGGGTGCCCTTGGAAATGTAGGGACAATTATATCACATTTTGTTTTCTTTTTTTTTTATCCTTTTGGACAATTATTTAAGCGTACAACTTCCATGCATTGGTGTTCATGTCAACACTGCATCCACTTAAAATGATTAAAAAAAGGGAGTCACAAGCTCAATTTATTTAATAAGTACAGATTAGTTAGGTCCCAGCATTCAATAAATCTAAATTTTGAGTTTTTTTTTGTTAATGGCAATTGGCTATAAATTATATATATTGTATATTAATATGGATTGATTATTGATTGTTCACAATATAATGAAGAAAAAGATACAAAAATAGTAAATATATATTTTTTAATATAAGTTCGCTTATTTTCATCTGCATGATTCAACTTTGAATCATCTCAAAGGATCATCAGCTTGGAATTGACAAGAATCCTACTATCTTGAAGACGGATCCATTTTTGCTTTTTAAACATTGACTATGGAATTGGTAGGTCATAACTGATAGGCTTTTATTTTCTTCAAGAAAAAATCCAAAATGGAAATTTCAATGTACATTCACTAATTCCACACCCCATGTCCATATGATTAGTACTATCCGATTCGATTTATAAGACTTCGTTTGTAGATTACAAATGAAGTTTTATAATTAGAACAAGAAGTAATACGTAAAATATACTACCTCCGGTCCTTAATATAAGACCCCGTTTGACTTTTAGTTTGGTCCTAATTATAAGACCCAATCTTTTGTCTCTCATATTTATGCATTTTTTTCCAAAATAGTCCTTCTAATAATGATAGTTCTAACCAACACACTTAATTAGCAAGGATATTTTAGGAATGGCAACATTTATTTGTTACAAATAACTAACTTAACTTACTTCCTTAATCTCCTCAAATTAGTCAACTGGGTCTTATAATTAGGACCGGAGGTAGTATATAAAAGCTATACTATTTATAAAATATAAATGATTTCATTTGTTTTATATTCTGAACAGAATAGAAGCTAATAGTCTAACATAAATCTACAAAAAAAAACCTTTTGAAATATTTAATCTTCAATTTTAATCATTTGTACCTTACCCAGTAGTTAATTTAATCAGCAAATTGTTTGCATCATTATTCTTTTCTTTTTCATTTTTCTGGGGTGAAACTCATCCTTATAAATGCATTTTATGTACTTTTTATTGGGCAAAATATCTGAACATAATATTTATTTTAAATATTTATACTATGGAAAAAAAAAAAGCGACAAAATATCTGAAAGTGTCGTTTGGGGGGATGGGGAGCGGAGGAGATTGGCGGATGGAGTGCTTGTCGTACAAGGAAAACGGCGAAACGCAGCTGGGGAAGGAAGGCGCTCTAAAGCCAAAGGGAAAGCTAATAAAATAATTAACCGGCAAAGTGCGGTAAAGACGGAGTTAAACTTGAAGCACACGCTCGCCCTGGCGCGCTTTGGTTGCGGATGTTCTACAAAATACCGGCACCCACTTACTTAATTCGTCGCTTACTTGCGTTTACCGGTAACAGAGCAAATAACGGCGTACCGCTATATTCCCAGTCAACATCCCGTTTCACGAGACCCAGAGATTGTGTGTGGGAGTTGTGTACGGTACACTTTTTCCCTTCTTTTCCTTATTTTTTCAATGACGGAAATTTAGGGGAGCCAGCATTCATTAGAATTGAGAGTTACTAGAATTATTATGGTGCGAATTTGTTTTAAAAAAATTTATTTAGAAGCATTGGTTACTGAAAGTTATTTTTGAGTTTAATATTGTCTTGAAATTTTTAAATCATAATAATTTTATCCCATATTATTAAAAATATTATCAGTTATTATTGTCACTATTTTAATGGGGCTTTTTTACTCAGATACGATGAACAGTAAAAAAATTTACTCAGATACGATGAGATCAAAACTATTTACCAAGATACTACACTTGAAATCCTTCAGACTGTGAACGATTTTAAATTTTAAATTTGTACAGAACTCGTTTTTGGTCTCAACAACTTCAGTGGGGCCCACATCACCAAATGAAAGTTGTTCTTGGTCTGAACAATTTCAATGGGGCCTACGAGTCCTATGTTCCACGTGAAATTGCTTCCTTCCGTGCTTTTTCAATTTTTATTTGACCAAACTATACTTTTGTTTTTTCTTGCCACAAGCACAGTCACTCAAAGAATAGTCTTTCATTGTTTGAAGCTCAACTCACCCATAAGGATTCCTTCCCTACATATTCCCATCAATATAGGACTCAGGGAGTGGTCATTTATTGTCTTTAGCTTTGTTTTGGCATGTGAGTGCATAGTGTAACTTTGGTATATATAATGGCATTTTACATTCCCACTCCATCTGCCTTCTCATCACTTCTCAAATTGTTCTTAAACTTGACTGATTCCTCTATTCTTCTTTCTCCTTCCACACTTTCGTGTGAAGTAGGTGGTGTGTGCGATCTTATAATTGTATACATTTTAGAAATTAGAGGCTGAAAGGAATATAATTATTCTTTGACTAACACATAAAGGTAAATTTACATTAAATAATGATAAGCTTATAATAAATACACTTGTGTAATTTTACATTAGGTACCATTTAAGTGACCCAAAAAAGCATCCTTATGATTAAAAACAAAAATAAATGTTAATAACTATTTCACACTAGTTATTTTAAAATTATAATTACTTAATATGACAAAACAATTAGCCATTATTGATGAGTAATTTTTTTAAATTTATATTTTATTATTTGGTCTCCCTAAATAATTATAATTTTTATGCTTATCTTTAATAAATATTACTTTTCCTAAGTCCTCCTCTCTAATTTTCCCCAAAAATTAAATAAAAAAACTCCTCTCTTTCATTATTATTAATCCCACCATTAGTATTCTTTTTATCAGGAAAATTTGGGCACCACTTAGTGCTAGTTTTCACAAGATATAAGACCAGATTAAGCTCACAACCAAATATTATCTAACCAGATACATATTTAATCTGACTACATATTTACTCAAACACTATCTACTGAGAAAACAGTTATATTTTTAATCAGGTTATAAAAAAGTAAACTACAATTTATTTTTTATGACAATTAATTATATGTCTACATTTTTTAATTAAAACAAACTCAACATGTTAAAATGACTAAATATAAAATTTTTATTCATCATTTAGCAAAATACATACCAAAATTTAAAAAAAATTAATCTAGAGAATGTACCTTATTCATAAGAAAAATCAAGTTTCAAGTTGAGATGAAATATATACAACTGCAAGACCGCACACACCACCTACGTCACACGAAAGTGTGGAAGGAGAAAGAAGAATGGAAGGAATCAGCCAAGTTTAAGAACAATTTGAGAAGCGATGAAAAGGTAGATGAAGTGGGAATGTCGAATGTCATTATATAAACCAAAATTACGCTATGCACTCGCTTGTCAAAACAAAGTTGAAGACAATGAATGACCACTCCCTGAGTCCTATATTGATGGGAATATGTATGGAAGGAATCCTTACGCGTGAGTCGAGTTTCAAACAATGAAAGACTACTCTTTGAGTAACTTTGTGTGTGGCAAGAAAAAACAAAAGTGTGGTTTGATCAAATAAAAATTGAAAAGGCATGGAAGGAAGCAATTTCACATGGAGCATAAGACAAATATGGATTGTGGGTCCTACTAAAGTTGTTTAGACTAAGAACAACTTTCATTTGGTGATGTGGGCCCCACTGAAGTTGTTCAAATTGAGAACAACTTTTATTTTCTGATGTGGGCCTCACTGAAGTTGTTCAAACCAAGAACAAGTTATGTACAAATTTAAAGTCGTTCACGGTCTGAACGATTTTAGGTATAGTATTTTGGTAAATAGTTTTGATTTTATCATATCTGAGTAAATTTTTTTACTGTTTATCGCATCTGAGTAAAAAAGCCGTTTTAATGGTTAAATTAATATTTTAATAATAAGAAATAAAATTGTTACAATTTTAAATTTTTCAAGTACTATTATACCTAAAAAGACTTACAAGTGCTCAGTGCTTATGAGTAAAAAAAATTTTTTTTTGAGACAAACTTATACCTAAATACTTAACCAAATATTTATATCAGAAGTGAAATTTAAACTCACCATCTTGTAAATTATGGACTAAATTCTTATATTGATACTCATAACTTGTAAATTATGGATTAAATTTTTATTAATTTATTAAAAAATAAGCTAAAATGTGGCCAATTGCACAAAATTCAAAATAAAATCTAAAATAGATTAGTTCAAATAAGTGACTTTTGTAAATTTTAATTTTAATTTAATATTAATATTATATTGAATTATTGATTAATTTATACTTGTTTCCTAGTGTTAAAGAAAGTCACGACTTTTTTTTTTTAAGAATTATTACTCGTTTCCCATGTAAAAAATAATTTTTGAAATTTGGACTCGAGGAATCAGGTAATATTTATAAGAATTTGGGCGCTTTGGTCTGATTTTCTCTGATCTCTTGTTGAAGTATCCAAATGGTACCGGCCAGCTGGAACACATTGTTGTTAGGTTGACACGTGTACGAATAGGACTTCGTTGTCTAAGTCTTCACGTAGCTTCATTTAACAATAACATGCTATAATGTCATTTCGTTAATTTTTTTTTTGTTATTTCATTATTCTTATTTAATCTCCCTCGTTTAATTGTTTAATCACGGCATGAAACCTGAGTTAATATAGAGAAATACCCATTTTTTGACCAAAATTTTAGTCATCAAGATAATTTATTTTAATGGTATAGTAATATCAAATGCGTTAATCATACATTAATTTAATAAATATTTTCTCCGCTTCTATTTATAAACTTCAAATTTGAAAAAAAAGGTGTGGTCTATTTTGTGAGTTTTAATTTGATATTTTTTTTGACATTTAAT